GTTACATCCTGTAGGTCTCTTGCAGGTACGACGGGGTTCTCTTGAGTTCGTTCTGACTAAGTGCTAAGGGCCCTTGATGAAATATAGGCTTTCTTCCACGGCCAGGCAGGTTTGCAGCTGTTCCATAAGTTTTAAACTTCCTTATTATGGTCCCAATGGTGTCTCTTGGAATATTACACAAGTGGCTCTTCTGAAACCAAATCTTTAAGGAACATCACACAGAAGAGAGAAATTCTTCTTGTTTTTATATTGCTGGCTGGGGCCATCAGACCAAAAGTGGATGGTGTGAGCACCAAGAAATTTGTCTCGTATTGTTTTGAGGACAGGATCCATGTATGCCCAAATGAAGGCAGAATCCTGATGAAAAAGCCAGCCTTTTAATTTTTTATATAATACATGCCAGTGTGTAGATTGAGTTGGGCAAGATTTTGACTTCTGCAAAGTCAACATGCACAATTACACTGTTGTCATCACAATTTTCTATCATCCTTCTGTACACTCTGGACTGATTTTTAACCAAACACACATGAGTTGTTGTCTCATTGCGCATCAGGTCTTTATAAAGCCGTATGAGTTCTGCTAGGGTGCCAGTGTGTTTCACAAGTTTAGTGTTATGGTAAGATTCACCTGCCACTTGGTCCTTCACTCGTTCACACTGTTGCCACTCGACAGGGATCAGATTTTGCTGCACTGAAACAGATGTGCTTTTGTGGAGGTATGGAATACCAACACGCAGAAGACATGCTTCACTGGGAGGAGAGCAACAAACAAGCTCAAAATTATCCTCAAGGCTGCTACTCTCAGTAACGCCATGTTCTCTCAAGACCTCAAGCATCAGCTTTGCATTTTCATGGAATTGGCACTGACAGGTCTTTCGATCAGATGGCTTGGGTGCTGTGACATAAAAGGGCCGAAGAGAGCAGAAAGATGAATAACTCACAGTAACGTCTGTGTGTTACTTGGTGAACTCTGTGTGGAGGTTGATCATTGTGTCTGAGAGGACCATTCTTTGATGTTTATTCTTCTTCTTTTGTAGGTGCAGAATTACAAAATAAGTTTTGGACAGTCATACATCAGTCAGACATTTTTTGAAGGTAGGTGGGCCTTTTGACTTTGGATTCCTTTGGCCTCAGCATTTTGTATGTCAGACCAAATTTCCTCATTTTGTTCAGCAGCCGGTATTTTTTAAGAAACTTTCCTGACAAGTGATAGTTCTTTGATTTTGTATAAGATTAGTGAAGTGGTTCTGCACGTTGTTTTCCCTTAAATTCTTTAATTAGAACATTGTGGAACAAAAGTGTTTTCCTTATTGATGGAGAGCAGGTATTTCTACCATGCAGCATTCTCTCTGTGGTGGTTCTTGGTGATTCAAATGGTGTGCTCTTCTGTGTTTTCTGTTTTATACGACATATCCGTTTTCTTAACTTGCTGTTCTCCTTTTTTGGCTTTTTTGAGCTTGGTCTAAATTTTTTTGATTTCTCTAGAATGTCTCTGCCTTGTCTTGACCCTTTCTCTCTTCCCTGCTGCAACTTGCCTGTTTGTCAGTGGTGTCTCATTCAAATCATCTGATGGACTCTCTGGGGGTGTTAGGGATGCTGGTTGAGGCTGTCTTCGCTTTCTTGATTCTCTCTGGCTATGCCTCCAATTCTTTCTCATTTTCCTCTGTTCTCTTTCACTCAAATCCTTTATTTGCTTTACTTTTCCTTCCCTAACTCTCTGTCTCTATCTTTGTCTCGCCTGTCTTCGAAACTCTTCTTTTAATTCTGGCTGTGCACTGATTTTCTCTCACCACTTTTTTGATATTCTCTGTTCCTCCTTCTACATTCTTCCAGTGACAGATGTTGCCTAGCCATGCTGGACTACAACACACAAGAACACCCTCAATATTTTTAATCAAATTGTCCCATACTAGAGAGGGAGACTAGACATAGACACACTATGTACCCTCACCAGTATGTTCCTTGAGCCCTGTGTTTCTTCAACTAAACCCTAAGAGTCTAAAAATATCAATTCAGAAAAGCAATAAAAAAGCTGAAAATTCTGATGCCACATATCTAGTACTTATATATTACTAGATAAACTCATAATCTTTTTCTATATTTGACTAAACACAAAAACAAGATGCCTTCCCATTGAATGTTAGCTCTGTCATTCACCTGTCACCACTGTCAGACAAAAAATCTGACGAAGTTGACATCTGACGCAGTTGACATAATAGCCATTTTATTCACAAAACAAATGGAGTTTAAGTAGCAGCCACTTTGTTTTTAGCTTGATGCAAGATGCTAACAGGACCCACTTCAGGACTGTAAAATAATCTAAGAATATATATATATAATATGTGTGTAGCATGAAAGGACTACAACGTGTACAACCATGTGTTGTAAAATGAAAAATAAATTAACCTTGATTGTTAGAAAACTGTGGCCTACTTACATTCAAGTTCAAGTTCCTTGTTGTCATATGCACATCAGTTATAAGTTGTGTAATTAAGTTGATTGCAGCTGTGTATAACGCTAATGCCCAAGCCAAATTTGCCCTCAGGGACAAGAAAGTATATCTTATTTTATGACGCAGATAAACAAAAAATAAATAACAAAAAGTTATAATTAATCACATTAACCCAGAGGATATGAAGGCATGGGTGACTTTTTCCAGGTCAGAAGTATTTGAGAATTGATCTGAGAATTGATCTGAATTTGAAGATGATGCAGAGCTACACAAAGCTCAAACTTCAAACCAGAATTGAATATTATAAGATAAATAAGACTTTTATAAAAAAAATACGTTTTTTGTTTTGTTTTATTCTCATCAGCTGAAGAAAGTTTGCAGCCACCCAGGATTTTGATTTGTCATGAAAACAGTTAACAACAGATAAAAAAAGATGAGGGTGAAAACTGTTGACAGACTTGCTGCAAAATGTTGAACAAATGAAAATGAATCCTTTCATTGATTATTATACTGCTATTGAAATGTATTTTATATACTTTCCTCTGTTTCCAATACAGCCAGGGTGCCCCCCTGCTTTCTGTGGGTGCAGACTGTCTCATTCAACCTGGCAATAAATATAATGGGGAAATGTGGGCTAGCATGAAAAATGTCTTGTCAAAACACTTATTTCTTTTGCCAGCACTATGAGAGACACTTTTACAGTAGGTGTGGGCAGTAGAGATAGGATCTTTGACAAAGGCACAGGTAGACTTGAAATGATTCCACACCTCCTGATTCTCCTTGACATCCTTTACAAACAGTGGATATAAGCTTTCTTAAAAAGAAGATACAGTCAAATAACCACCTCAGCTTTGTTGTACAGAGAGATAAATGCCTCTGCATCCTCCAGTGAGTTCCTTGACACAAGAGCTATTAAGGTCCACTATCAAATATGATGCACAAACCCACTGGTATTAAGAATGGATTTAGTTTTACAGCACACTCTTGAGTGCCCAAAAGGTACTCAAGTAAAAAAGAAGAGTTGAAGTACTCAAATGTGGGCAAAAGCTGTCTTCAGAGTCAAGTTAGAATACAAACCCTTTTTAGTGCATGGATTACTCATTAGAGACAAAAACAACAACAACAACAACAACATTAGTTTCCTATTGTGTAGGTGTTTATCAAGGTTCACTTCATGTACTACATTGATTCTAAAACAGCAGTTCTACAAAGAGCCACATTCCTGGTTTGATTCAAGAACATGTAGTCTTCAGGGTTATCCAGACCCGATAAAACTGACAGCTCAGTCAGGTTCCACCTTCTGTCACAGCAGCAGCAATCTTGGTTTATAGAGCACTTTAAAAATCCATTTTAAAATCTTAAATCTATGTCCTTTTATCATTGAAAAAAAGGTACCTAATGTAAATTGGATGTAAATATACCTTTTTTACAGAAGCCATTTTGACAGGAAATAGCAGAGTAAACACAGTGATACTGATGGTCCTTTCCATGCAGGCCATCCAGAGTCTGGGTGCTACTAACTGTGCATGTTGCCTCACTGGAAAAGCTTTGCTATGCTAAATAGGGTTGCTGTTGGAGAGTGGAGTCCGTGTCATGGAAGAACCGGAGCAGGGTGAGTGGGCAACGTAGCTAGCTCAGCAGCTTCTATGGTCATAGCTAATGGCAGATACAAAGGGTGTTCAAGGAGCTAAGGAGCTAAGAAGAGGAGAAAATGAGAGAGTGACTGGGCAAGAGGTCGCCACACAGCTTCCTGACACAAAGGGCTGGACGAGCTGACCTTCTCGCTGTTGGACTAAGTGACATTAGCTGGCTCTATGCCTTGTGTTGTTGCCATTGGCAGTATGGTTGTTGCACTTGTTTGATAGTTGGTTGTGTTAGCAAAGTTGTCAACTTGCTAACATTTGTAAGGTAGCAGAACAGAGGCAGTGTACAGCTGCTCATAATTATGACAGTTGTATTGTAACTGGTGGTCAAGTCACAACAAATACCAAATGATAGTGTTAGTGCTTTAATTAGTGCCTGTGTTTACCATACTTCAAAATGGCGGCTACAAAGAACTAAAAAAAGGCAAAAAGAGCTAGGGTACACCACAGCAGATATTTCCACATCACAGGTGTAATTATTCACATTATTAATGATGGCTGCATTTTATTAAGCTGAGACACTGGCAGGGTTCTGTACTGTACATGCTGGCTCTCTGTGATGATGGAGCTGAGTCATCATTAGTGCTGGAGGTTTCACCTGTGCTTATGACAAGTCACAATGACTGCAGTGGACAATGTCTATTCTCTGCGCCGAAAAAAAGACGTAACAATTCCAACCGGTCTCTTATCTTTTAAAAAGATATAAATTGTATCCTTCTTAACACTTCTTCTACCTTATAGTCCCTGCTGGCTGTGGACGTTTACCCGTCCTCTAGCGCATGTCTGCTTAAAAAAAAATAAATAAAAAAAACAAAAAAAAAACCCAACAAAAGTGACATTTTTTCGCTTTTATTTTGAAGGCGGGCTCTCTTGTGTTCCGGTATTGTATCCAGTGCGGTAAGAAGCTGACCGATGAGTTTTAACGGGAGGCGAAAAAAAGAGGAGAGAAAAATGAAAGAGCGAGGGAGATAGAGAGCGAAAGAGAGAGAGAGAGAGAGAGAGGGGGAGAGGGAGGTAGAGGAGTGCTGTCGGACCATCCTACCAGGCAGACCAGGAGGGTGAGGCTTATAAATGTACCGTTGGCTCAAATCGTATTCGTCTTTGTTGCTGTCAAGACAGAAAGGAAATGTGGCGTCCATAACGGGACTGCGCCTTTATGCAAAATGCACATTCATTCTAACAGGGCTGTAGAAGGTGTACACACTTTAAACCTACCTTATCGTACTTTCTCTGCCTCACTATTCGCATCACTACTAACGTCCATAGTGGTATTTTATCAGGGACTTGTAGCCTATCATCCGGCTTAAATGCGGTAGGATTAGTGTAGTTTGCCAGTGGTCTGCTTGCTGTCTGTGTCGGTAGATGGGGATGTGATGGTTCACGTTATTTTGGCAGCGACGTGAGCAGGAAATGCCGCTGTACGCAGGCCTGTCCACCCTATCTATCAGTGAGTGAATGAAGGGCTGCAGACAGTGAGGCAAACAAACAAACAAACAAACAAACAGCAGGTCGTTGTTTGCTCTGGCTCTGACTGCACTAGTGCACATGCCTGCTGTGTGTATGCATGCCTTCACTGATCTGTCCCTGCCTTAATCATATGTGTGTGTGTGTGTGTGTGTAATCAGACACACTTCTATTATCTGGTTGCAGTGTTTCATCATGACCGCCCTGCGTCAGAGGAAGGGCAGCAAAGGGAAGGAGCCCCCTCTCGGTGCAGAGTTTCAGTCCCAGCAGGCCAACTGTTGCACTGATCATCACCCAGAGAAGATCTTGCATGGTGAGTTTACTACAGTCCTCCCACTCAGCTGACTTCCATACTGTTCTGAATCTGACCCTGACCTCTGACCTGCTGTGGGTGCTGAGTGGGAAGGGAAGTTCTCAGTGGAGTTTTAATGAAATGCTTACACCGTGTCCAGATTTAGCTTGTGTTGCATGGACAGCAGGCACAATGAACTTCCAAACTTTCTGAATTAAATGACTGAATTGAATGTAATCTGTATATTATACAAATAACCAGTATTTCACTATTCTCCAAAGAAAAACCCACCTGGTGTTGTGCATGTTGACTGATGGCTTACTGCAGCACCTGAACAAAGGGACAGATGAGTTAATAATGCTGATTGGGAATCTCTCTTCAAACACGCACACACACATTGTCAGACAAGTGTGGCCTCTCTCACACACACACACACACACACACACACACACAGACATACAGTACTGCCACACATGGGAAACTGTCTCGCAGCATGACATGCTCTTGTTTGTCCCCTCATATTCCCTCATCCTTTCGTTTGATAAGTGGCAGGGGGAAAGGGAAACGAGGAAAACACAGAAGAAGAGAGAGACGAGGGAGAGTTTCGTTTTCAGCTACCATTGTTTGAAGTACACAAAGAAACTCAACACTCTCACTTTCAGAGCAACGCAGACACGCCAGTGTACAGGTATACATGCTCACAACAGCATAGGTCACTGGCATAGGCTCGACTTAAAGCCTCAGTACAACTATAAATCAACCGTAAGCCGTGACAGTAAAGCTGCCAGTATACTTCCTCAGAAGTGCTTGTTGGATGGTTGAATAGGAAACCCCTTGTCCCCACATCTTTCCACTGTTTGACTGGGGGGCTGACCCGAGCATTTCTGTAACTATCCAAAAATGACAATATGACAGTCTTACCCATGCCATGCAATGATTGGCTTACTGTGCAGAGGTGAGAAAGGAGCCAGCAAAACTTCTACTCATAGTGCTCTTTTTTCATTTACTTTTCATGTGAACAACTTAATGCAACACTATGAATGCCCTCCAGGAGACACTAGCTGGAAGTGTGTGCCGTTATCTCCACATTTAAACGATCCTGAATCTCCACCCTGCGTATGACAAGGACTTTATTCTAGATGACTATATGAGGCTATTCCCTCCACACTCCGGTCTGATGGTGCGGAACAACCATGAACATTGTCAGATGTGGTCAGACAACACGTGGCATGCACGAGTTCTGTTCGAGTATAACCTGACCTTGAACCAGCATGCACAATGCCAGGACCCTGCAACTGAAGCAGCTAAATGGAATTCAGCCATTGTTCATTTTGTTATGCACACCTGTGCTTTCCCCACCATTACATCTCGTGTTAATGTTGGCTGTTTTTAAAAGTTTTACTTGACAGCAACAACTTAATGACATTAATGTTCCTGCAGGTGATTGGTCATGGGGGGCAATAATCTGGACATCAGTTGGTTGGTCTGTGTCTGTTGGTCTTGGCCTGCTGTGCTGTATCTACATGGCCACACTACATGAGAACGACCTGTGGTTCTCCAACATCAAGGTAAAGGCCCTTCACTGTTACCGTTTTTTCCCCTCAAAAATGCTGTTAGTGCTGCTAGTGAAGTGCCAGTTATGTGGTTGGTGCCCCTAGTTTAAGGTATGAGTGTACGTCTGTATAGGTGTGTGTGTAGGGGAGGAAATTATTTTTGCGGGAAAATAGATATTCTGTGAGAAGGTTTAACCAATGGCGAGGACAGTGAGTATGGGTTTGTAGTTTTGGATGGGTGGGTTGATAACTAAGAAGTCTCTACGCAGACGGAGGGATGGAGAGAGGGATGCTTGAGCTCATAATGAGATATATCCTGTCAGTGACTTGTTTCCAGAAGTAATGAGTTGGTGGGCAGAGCCAGGTGGTGTGGAAGCAATTGTCTGATGTGTTCATTGAGCAGTGTGAACATGTACCTGAGTCTTTGTCAGATTCAGATACCTGTCAAACCCATGGGAGCTGCAGCAAGGACTTAGCCTTGGTACATGCTACAGCCTAATAATTAGATTTGTTGTCACATCGATAAACCATATTCAGAAACTGAAATTCAGTTTACATGATAGTTAACGTGGCCTATCCATGGGTTAAGTATAGAAGAGATCCTGTATCTTGTAAAACCAAAATGAATGTCAATTAGTGTCTTGCAATCTGCAGCTTCACTGCTAGATGCCACTGCACACTGGCCCTTTAACCAAAGAATGTCCTGTTAACAATTAAAAAGAGTAAACATACCAGGGCCAACTGGTGAAGAATGCCAAGGGTGAATGGCGTTGTGTAACATTAATGATAGGCAGGCATGGAATGGCTGTTAATGACAATTAAATGAGGAATTCTTTTTGAAAAAAGTGTGTTTTGTAATTGCAAATTCAGAAGCAGACACTAGCAATTAAGATAGCTTCTTTATATAGTATTTGCCTCTAGGAAAAAAAGACTTAAATACTAAAGACTTTCTCTTCATACCAGAATGGAGCAAATTAGTGCTGCTGTTTACTAGAGCTGTGAATGTTAACAACTGGTAGACGTTAAAAAATAATCAACTTGTTGCCAAGCCCTTTGTCCACTGATTCTGTACCGTACCATTATGTAGATGTCCCATTGGTTTAGTACTCAGACAGTTGAACTCACTGATATTTCCACTGACTTTCTGCCAGCCCAGGAAGATGATCTGGGAATGTGGACAACACACAGTCTTTTATCTCTTTTATGAGGCACTTGTGAAGAAGCAGCAGAGATGACCACATTGATGTATCTGACACTTTTATATGGAGGTTACCTAAGAATTGGACATCTGTGTGTAGGATTCATCAACCACACCACCATATCTGTGGATATTTACAGATGGAAAATGTCTCCCAGATTTAACATTTTAAAACCAAAAAGAATTCACGCACATTTTCTGTGTATCTCAAGAGGAAACATAAGTGCCAATCAAACACATCCCCTCATCCAGTTTTTTCCATAAAATGGCATGCAAACACGTCATAAACACTTCATCATGAAGTGGGATGATTGTTTTTCCATGCACTGCATAGGATTGATTTGCAGGCCCATTAAATGAACCACATGAAGTCTTGAAACACCATGGCGACTGGTGGTTACACAGTCCTTTTTATAGTCTGTTCAGTGTTGTACAGCAACAGAACATTGTGCCCTGCCAGATATGATGTAATTTAAATCCCCCATCCAAAGCTTCACCAACACTCTGGTTCAAACTGAGATATACATAGCAGATTTTGATCTGGTTGACATGACAGAACAGATCGCTCTGTCAAAATCAGAACTGGAGAAAAATGTAAATGAACACTGCTGCTGTTTGTTGTTTATGCCTCATTTAGCGGTGCAGTAATAGTCATTTGTTTTGCTAGATGTATGAGTCAACCAAGGCAGGAAATGCAGGTCACTTGGTGTGGCTTGCATATGATGTTATGATACTATAGGATGAGTTTTGTATAACAGTGGTTCTGATGGTTTGTACCATGGGTAGGTGTATACAGTTTCAACTGCCAGGTACCAGAACATTCAGTGATACAACAGTCAGAGGTATGGCTACATCAATACAAACTACAGATCCAACCCAAATTCAGAAAAAATAAATAAATGAATGTGGCTCTCGAAAACAAACCTTACAAAGTAACTGCCTCTCCCTCTAGGGTTACAGTGGTATACAGATTTAATTATTACTAGTATAATATATATGTGCCTATACTGTAAATTGGCAGAACAGTGAAGAGTGTGAAACTATGAACAGAATAGTAATTCTTATACATTCTCTCATTGGGCTTCTAGTCAATTAAATATATATGAAATGATCCCTAATTTATATAATGGAGGTATCATTTAGAGCTGTGGTCTCAACCCGAGGACTGACCACATGAAGGTTCCCGGACACCAGGTTGAGACCACTGCTCTAAATGATACTTCTTTTATCAAATAGTTCTACAGGGGACATTTAGTCACACTGTGTCAAATCAGAAATGTCCTTTTAAATATCATTTAATTTATTTACTTTACTGCTAATTAAGCTCACTAAGCTAGTAGGTATTAAAGCGAGTGAGAGCTTAATGATCTAACACTGGAGAGTTCAGATTTGTCTGAATCTGCTAGAAAGTTAGAGTTTCACATTGTGGTCGAGTTGTTTTCTGCTCACAAGGAGTGATAAATCAAAACCAGCAACCCTACCAGATAATAAAGTTTTATCTGTACACATTGGTTCAGATTTTGTAGACGTATCGTCATCACAGAAATGGACTTTCATTATTGTGTAGAACAGAAGAGGGAGTGAGGAATCAAACAAAACAACTGAGCAGGCCAGCTCTTAAAAATCTACGGCCCCGAATTTGTCTCATCAGTAACTCTCAGTGCCAGCCAGGTGCCTCATCTGTTCCTCATGCAAATGTGCAACGCGTCTTGACCCACATAGAGGCAATCTGCACAGGATAATGGATGAGTTTTTGTCACAGAGAGACAAAGCAGCACATGTGGTTAATTGAGTAGAATCCGTACGGACACAGTTTGTGGTCCTGTGCTGGTTTTCTCTGTTTACTGTATGTGTGTGAGAAGGGAAGAGGACAGATGCTTTCGTTCGTAATAAATGCAGGTCACTGAACAATTCGAAGAAATGTTCCCACATAAGTGGGCTCCTGGCTGACATCATCACCCATTGCACGCATATGTGGGTGTGTGTGTGTGAAATGTTTCCTTCTGTTAATGCTATCAAAGCCTCTGTCTAAGACTATGTTAACACAGAGCTGCTTAAATCTGAAAATGCTGAAAGTACATGTCTTTAGTAAGGATATCTATCAAGTACAAATTGTCTGACACCACAGTGATTGGACTGATAAGATCCTAGCCCTTTGGTCTCATGACCTTCATTATTATTTTAATGTCAGTAAGACAAAATCAATCATTGTTGACTTTGGGAAGACCAGAGGGAATTCTGCTCTAGTTTCCATCAGTGGGGCGAAATTGTGGGCAGTTTTAAATTTCTGGGTCAACACATTAAAGACACACTCACATGGTCCCTCAACACCAAGGGCATCCTCAAGAAGGCCCAGCAGCGGCTGTACTTTTACCGATTTTACCATCGAGTGTGTGCTGGCAGGCTGCATCACAGTGTGGTTCTGCAGGCTGACTGCACAGGACTGTATAAACAGTAAACAGGATAGTAAAGCAGCTAAAACCATTGACACACGATTACCACAGCTCCAGGACATTTACAACACTGGCCACAAAGAGATAGCCCTGTTCTCACTTCTTCTGTGTTTAAAATGTTACAGGCCCATCAAACCTCACACCACCTGTCTCAGTAACAGCTTTTTTCCACAGGCAGTCAGGCTGCCGAACAGTTGACGCTCCCACGTGCACTGTAAATAGTATGTATGCATTGTTATGTGCTTATGTGGATAGTGTTACTCTTGTAACATTCTCTTAAATGTTATGGTATGGATGGTCTGTATTTATTTATGTACACACAGGATGAGAGTGGCTGTAAGTAAGCTAGGTTTGAACTTCTCTCTAAATCTCTCTTTTTTTCATTTTGTTACACAAGTATTTGTGCTGCAAATATAAATAATTGAGGGCAACAGAGTGAAAATAAAATCTAGCTCAACTTTTGCTGTCATCCAGCAAGATGCTTTGGATCCACATGTTTTTGTTCCAACCAGTCATTGGTTAAATAAGCTGAGTCTGGAATAAAAGCATAGAGTATTAATGTTTTTATTTAAATATATTTAGTGAATGGACATAAAATAGTGATTTGATCAGCTTAGTTATGGCGGAGAGGGTAAGATCTTTACCATTACACCACCCTCAAATGTGTCTGAGCAGGTATTTTTCAAAAGTTTTGTTCTTCACTAAAATGCAATACCAGCACCTTCACATGCAACAGATGGTGCTAGTTTTAAGAAATCTTAGTTTTGAGGTGCAAAACCCACCGAGTGGGAGGCCCGAACAAAAGGAAAAAGATTCATTTTCATACTTGGCCGGCCGGCTTGGTGTGGACAGGTCCACATGCAACACATACATTGTCAAGCGAAAAAAAACACTTGCACTTTTCCAAGCCTGAGCAAAGGGTGTAATGCAGTTAATATTCATTTCAGATGCTGGTGGCTACGCCAGCTGCTACTGCAGGCCGACCTTACCTTGAACTGCTTGCTGTTGCTCCAGTTGAGATGATGTATTCAGTTTCTTGCCCTTAGAGATCCACTGTCTCTCTCTCTCTCACATTCACTTTTTTGCTTTCTATACTTACACACACATGCACTCTAAAGTGTGTCCAGGTCAAGTAGAATGGAAAGGACTGTGAAACATGCTGGAAAATAATTTGGGTTTGGGAGTCCTGCCCGCTTTATGTTGCGATTGTTTCTGCCTGACCTGACTCTACAAAACTGATGGTATTGGAGTGTTAGCAGTCTGTGGAGAAGCTGTTGTTTAACACAAAGGAGACTGGTTTTAAAAATCTCACGTGGTTTCCACACTCAATGTGTTGTTGAGGAAATGTGGTATCAGTGTTAGCCTGAGGTTATAGAGTCTGGGGGCTTTATTATCAAGTTCTTCTCACTCCTTCGCTCTTTCTCTCTGTCTCGTTCACACACACCCTTAGAATGCTTATTATCACCACTCTTACGTATGCAGCGAGACTGTTGCCTCATGGAGTTCATTTCAGACATGTGCTCACAGCTTGACGTCAGTTCCAGATCCACAAACCCTCGGACGAAAGTTCCCTGCATTTTCCGAATGATGTTCCAACATGTTCTCCACGCTGCTCCCCACCCCCACCCCATCTTATTCTTTTCCTGTGTGCATGTGTGTTTTTATAGACAAGAGGTCACCAGTAGTCATCTCTTTTCTTTCCCTCCCTCTGGCTGCTCCAGTTATCTACAGCCTATCCAGTTGCTCGCAGACCTGCTGTGGCTCAGTCTTTGTTTGCCTTTCTCTGCATACTTAGTTGCTGATTTGTTGAGGAACATTACTTTTTATTTCGAAGTCTGTGTTGGAGATGAGGTTAGGCAGAGGTTAGGCTCTGGAAGACATAAAACAGAGAGAAGACGAAGCAAGGCCAATGCTCGATGGACCCTCGCTTGGATTCTTCAAGTACCACATCGGAGAGATGGGAGTTATTCAAGGACCTATAAAGAGGAAATGGTAACGGAGAGAAACAGAGGGAAGAGGATCTGTGCCTTCTGAGAAGTGAACTAGCTTTCAGGGGAATGAGCAATGTGTGAACTTGTTAACCAGGCCTATTCTCTTTGACCTTAATTTAAAGTGAGGATTAGCCATCTCATCAGAGTTCTTGGTGTAAAGCCAATGCTTGTTTTGCCCCGAGCAAACTCAAAAGAAGGATTGGGAAGAAAATCAGCTGCTCATTCCCTCAGAGAAAGCTTTAGCATATTTCCTTTTGGCAAGGAACTTGAAGCGATTAAAAAGCTAATTTATTTGGACTGACTTCAAGAAAAGAAAAACACACCGCATTTACATTTATTGCCGTAATGGATTTGGATCAGTTCTATAGCTCAACCCAGGAGCATGCTGTTTATCTACCTGGATTCAGCTCATCAAAGGCTCCAAGAAGTTATTGATAATCTCCGTCTTCTCAGGCAATGGTGCTCCGTAAGAGAGTTAAGCTGAGCAAGCTAGAACATCATTTGGGCCTCTCACAAGATAACCCAGCTGAAGGGAGATGGAGCAGTAATATAATGTGGGGGACAGAAAGGTCTAATGCCAGGCCAGAGGATGGTACAGGGGAGGTTCCTCTGCTGGGAAGATCCGGTACGTGTTCCGGTTCAGGCATTCTATCCTGGTGGCCTTGTCGACAGTGTGTTTCCATGGCAGCCGGGCTGTTATTAGCTGGGCTGCTGGCACTGACTCAGGCGTGGTGCGTCAACGCCATACACGAGAATCTGCTGTGGTTCTCTCAGCTCACGGTAGGAGTTGTGATACTGTTTTAATTTGAACCTTTGATTACCAAGCACATTCTAGACAAGCCCTCGCCCACAGCAGTAGCCTGTGGGGAGAGTTCCAAGGGGATCAGTGGGTAACACAGTGCAATAAAAACTGTCACACCCCTCAGTGGTCCAATCTCAGCTCACTGTGTGAGTGTGTGTGTGTGTATGTACATAATTTACATAAAATGCCTAGTGCCATAACTATTATTAATTTATTTTATTAAAACACGTGGCACATTTGTCATCATTGACATGTCAGTGATAATCAGTGACTCATGATGTTAGTTTCCAATTACAGGGTTGGTAGTTCTGTCCCCAGATTCTTCTTGTCCTGTCCACATGTCACAGTGTATTAATGTATTCAAAGAGCATGAGAATATGAGAACATACATGGAGCTATGCTGGGAGTTTGCTGAGGACACTAAGCTGAAAAGGGGCACACTGTCCCACCCTAACTGGTGTAACAAAATCAGAATCAGGGTGATGTCAGCACAGTCTATGCATGCACTCACCATCCTGGCAAGAAGTCTAATTAAGCAAGTTAAGTACCTCTGTGGGTGGACCATGGAATATATGGAACCTATATACAAATGTATTTGAATGTCACTAAATGTTGGATTTGTCTTTTTTAATGTAATAGCTTAGGTTATGGAAATCAAATGGAAGTCAGTAGGGCTCTTAGTCATTTAGTCGATCAGTTGTTAAGGTTTTAGTGGACTATGACATTTTTTGTCCATTTAGTCATTTTTATGGTCTTTTAATGAGGGATGAACTATTAATCATAAGTCTTTACTGGAAAAAGATCACATAAATGGTATTGTGATAATACTCAGAAATATGCTTTGGTTTTTAATAGGCAGATGTTGAGATACGTAAGAATGACCGCATTCATCTGTGGAGAGACAATGATAGTGGAGAATCAGTTTGACAGACTTGTTAAATCACTTAACCAATATGTCAGGATACCACTATTGTTTAAGAACTTCTTTTTAGTGAAGCACAGCTTTAAAAACCATTTACAAACTGAATATGATAAACTGACGATTGACTTAATATTCTGCAGCTGGTTGTTCGCCGTTCTGTCTTTACACCCCCCCCCCCCC